GCTCTTCCCTAACTCTGGGCCTTGTACTGAGATTTTTGTTTGCTTTTTAGGTTCGATGTACCACTTTGATAAGTCAACTTCATCTTGCATTTCTACCAATGCACTTCTTCCAGATCCATATGAATCAGAGAGGTAATTTTTTCCATGTGGTTTAAATGGCACCATTTATGTGAGATTAAATAACCCTTGTGGTAGGAATTACTGGCCCTCTGCTAAGGCCGAGTTCTTGAGCAGAAAAAAATATTCATATATTCCGAGGAAGAGTGTTTTTATTGTCATATAGAATCTGTCCCTGTAAGGAAGTTTTTCCACCCATAAAGCACAGAACAGCTTGTGTGTCAGTCCCAGAGTGAAGCTTCTACAAAGACAGCAGTTGGGCCAGGCAGCCAGCTATGCCCTGCTCAAGTGTCCCCTTTCTTGGGGCTCTAGCCCCTGCTGGCCCCTAGGGAGCATTTGTGCTGGCCCCTAGGGAGCATTTCACACTCTTGAAAGCTCTAGCCGAGGCAGGGGCCAAATGCCTCCTTTTCTAATTAGCCCAGCTGAGGGGGTCTGGAATGTGAGATAATTTCTTTATTCACTAAGGGAAGACAGGAGTGAAACAAAGAAAATACAAGAAGCATAAAAACATTCCAGCTTATAAATTACAAGTTTCTGATTCTATAAGATCCCTCCCAGAGTGTCAAGCCCTGTTCCATTTCATACCCTATCTAAACTCTAAGCTCTTGATTCCTGGTATGGTTTTCTCTGGTCCCCTGCCTGGGGTTCTTATTCCCCAGCGACTGGCCTGTCTGTGGGTAAGAGTGCCATCTGCAGTTGGCTTTCTCTTGGCCTCACTCTGTAAGCGTGGCTTCTATTCAGTTTCTGTCACGTCCCCACCTGAGAAAAGGCCTCTTCCCTGGTTTAACTGACAGGGCTGACACCACAATGTCACAATGAATGAATGGCCTCTTTCTTGACACGAGGCTCTGGCCTGTTTGCAGGGAGAAAGGTTTGGTCTCTTGTTAGCCCCCAAAACACAACAGTACCATAACCGTATGCATCAGTCGTTTTTTGTTACTGTCATATGCCACATAACAGTACCCTCAGACTATCAGTGATTTATGAAAGCAAACATTTTCTTTTACGCTCATGCTTCTGTAGATTGGCTGACGTTCAGCCGCTTTTGACTGGGCTCAACTCGGCTCAGCTGGACTAGGCTACTCTCCAGGTTTCAAGTTGGGTTCCAGTCTGTCTCACATGCCTTCATTCCAAGACTCAGGTTAAGGGAGCAGGGGCGTCTTCTTCTTGTGGAGATGAATGGAAACTCAAGGAAGCTGGCAGAAACTTGCCATGCTTCTTAGTATCCAAGACCTAGCTTTGCAGTCACTTCTGCCTAGTTGCAAAGCAGATCACATGGCCAAGACCAAAGGCAGTCAGGCAGGGATGTATCCTCAGCCCAGGCTGAAGGGCAGTCATGCGGCCAGGCAGCAGGACGTATAATTCTGTCCCAGGGAGAGAGTCAAGAGGTAAAAAAGCAAGAATTCAGCCTTCCAGCCCATCAAGCAGGCAGAAGATCTACATAACAAAAATCCCAGATGACCAGTTCCACCAGAGTCATTACATCACAGGGGCCAGAAGAACTGAAATCCTGTGGATGGGGCATGTACTTATTTACTAAATCCAGTTCCGTAATCATGAGTGATGTTTTCTTATAAACCAGTGGTTGGCAAACTTGTCCTATAAAGGGCCATGTGGTCAGTATTTTAGGCTTTGTGGGTCTCTACTGCAACTACTTAAGTCTACCTTTGTAATGCTAAAGCAGTCATAGATAATATTGAACAGATAGGTATGGCTGTGTCCCAATAAAACTTTATTTACAAAAATGGACACAGCCAGCTTTGGTCCTTGAGCTGATCTGCTATAAACTCCTTTGTTGGGAAGTGCTTATTGGATATATTTTATTATGTAAAAGATTCATCTTGGGGCTCCATTAAAACAGTCCTTCCCTCCTATTTGGCACTGAGAAACTTAGGTATAGCTTTAATTAGCTTTGGGAAATGTTTTCCTTGTCTAGGAAGACAGTGGAAATTGTCATTGATTAAAACAGACAAATTTTTAAAGACCTTATATCAAGCACTGAGTTACCTTGTGAATATATACTAATAATCCCTTTATTAGAGAGCAGTGAGAGAAATAAGTAACAGTTCTCCAGTTTCTAATGCCAAAATATGTGGTTTTACTCTTACTTCCTCATTGGATTATTATGAACTGACATTTTGGATTCCGTAGCTATGAGAATATTTTGGTGGTTGATGTAAGGGATGACATATCAAACTAAAAACAAATCATTATTTGCCCCTTTTTTCTGTTTAGGGTGTATGTTGCGGAATCCCTCATTTCCAGTGCTGGAGAAGGACTGTTTTCCAAGGTAGCAGTGGGACCCAGCACTGTTATGTCTTTTTATAATGGAGTCCGAATTACACACCAGGAGGTGAGCGGGGTAGAAGTGGAAAATCAGCGTGATTGGTTAAAGGGTTTTGTTTCAAGCACCCTTACTAATTTTCTCATTAGTCCTTTTACTTTAATATTCACTAGGAATATAGAGGAACAAAAAGCTAGGGTTTTTTTGTAAAATGCTTGGATACTGTCTTATAGCCAGGCTCAGACTGCTTTAGCAAAGACACCATAGATTATGTAGCTTATGAACAACAGAAATTGATTTCTCACAGTTCTGGAGGCTGGGAAGTCCAAGATCAAGGTGCCAACAGATTCAGTGTCTGGTGAGAGCCTGCTTCCTGGTTCATAGATGTCCCTCTTTTTGCTGTAACTTCATATGGCAGGAGGGATGAGGGAGCTCTCTGGGGCCTCTTTTATAAGACACTGATCCCATTCATGAGGACTCTGCCTGCTGTCATGACCTAAACACCTCCCAAAGACCCCACCGCCGGATACCCTGACATTGGGGATGAGATTTCAACATATGTTTGGAGGGGGGACATTAACAATCAGTCTATAGCAGATATTTTCCTCTTTTTTTTTTTTAATTGTTGTGAAATCAAGTCTATTCATTTTTTTTTTTAATTTATTTTTATTTATTTATTTGGCCACACTGCACGGCATGTGGGATCTTAGTTCCCCGACCAGGGATTGAACCCGCAGTGGAAATGCGGAGTCTTAATCACTGGACCACCAGGGATGTCCCAATTTTCCTCTTTATTTTGAGCCTTAGTATGATGCCTTAGTATGATTTTTTTTTTTTTTTTTTTTTTTTTTTTTTTTTTACATTCCACAGCTATTTTATAGAGAGTGGGCTGGTGCCATCAGGGAGACAGTAATTGCTTTGTATTGGACTACACCCAGTATCTGAAAAATTGAGATCCAACCGGACTCTGTCAATAATCAATTTATGACCTTGGGTGGGGTGCTTTACAGGAAGGGCCCCTACTTCTGTCTGTGCAAAAGCCATACAATAGCCTACATCTTACCTGGAAGGGTTCTATTTCCAAAAAAAATTTAAAATTAAAAGTTGAAGAGTTGAATCACCTCTTGCCTTTAAGACACAATCTTTGAGACACTTCTCAGATTTCATATATTTTTTTTGTTTTTGTTTCTTTACTTCACAACTAGCTTCCTTAAGTGTCTGCTTAAGGGTGAAAGCTTGATGATTTGAGCACAGCTAGGGCTCTGTCCATCCTGGTCTCACTTGTGTGAAGTTGGGTGGGACTTAAGCCGATCACTCACATCCCACCTTCACGTCTTCATTTTTTCCTATGGAATGATAAAAAGCAAAAGGCCGAGAAATAATCAAGTCACTGTACAAAGCAGCCGCCCAGATAAAGACGTCAGTGCAGAAACCGAGCTGTGGTCTGCCTCGCAGTGTCCCCTTGTGATGGTCAATCCAGAAAGTCCAAGAAATTCAGCCTGTGGACGGTGGCTCGGGATACTGATACATAATTTATTCAAACGTTTTACATCTAAGGAAACTGAAGCCAAGAGAGGTTAAGCAATTTGCCTAAGGTCACAAATATAGTAACTGGCAGAATTCAAGCAAGGTTTCTAACAGCAGAATCTGGCTCTGTGCTGAAACTCACTATATAAATGAATGAGGGTGCCTCCTTGCTTTCATGAAGTTTAGATGAGAAAAATACACAACTAATGGCAACATAAGGAAGATGGTACTGAGTGTCATATATCAAATCACATAACAGGTCTGGAATATTAAGATCCATGAAGATTTTTTCACTTTCATCACTGCTGTATCCCCTGCACCTAGAACAGTGCCTAGCATATGGTAGGTGCTCAGTCAATATCTGTTGAATGAATATCAGATACAAATAAAAGCATAACTGTAGCTTACAGACAGGAGAGATGGTATACCTCTGGGTGTCAACAGTTTTTGAATGAAAGCGTGATCCTGTTGGTTCCAAAACGCTGTCCTTGCTGGCATGCATAGATGCTGGGGCCTGTTGGTCAGGACTGGTTGGGATAAGGGATGCCTGCTGCTTGCACAGCGGATAGTGAGTCCTGCTGTGGGTGAGAAAGCACACTGGTTGTCCGTGACTCTGCTGGTCACACCGATTGCCCACCTGCAGCAAAGGTGGAGGACTTTTCTGGCGCTCAGTTTTGCCTTCCTTAGGCTTCTGGTTCTGTTTGATGTTCTTACTTTCGTTTTTCTTTGGCTTCATCCTTGTCTCTGTAGAGGTTCAAGGGATTTGAGGGCTGATTAAAGAAAAAGACCACAAGAGGCAGCAGCACACAACAAGCTTTATAGATACGGGGTGGTGATTGGGCGGGGCTGCATGAGAAGGGGGTGTCCTCCCAGCATGAGGCCGTTCAGAGGCTTATGGCACAGGGGCCAAGGTCCAGAGGGGAGCAGGGCAATGGAACTCCTGGGAAAGAGAAGGACCAGAGAGGGGGTTGACATGTCTAGGTGATGTCAACCCCCGGGAGGGGTCTCTGGGCCAAAGAACTCCAAAGGACAGCTACAGTCTGGCGTCTTTATGGTCCTGGGTTTATCTATCTGCTCCTAGCAGATGTGGGGTGAGGTTCTGTGGATGAAGCAAACTCTGAATGGCTAAAACTCTGCTCTGTTTGGGCTATTTAAAATAACAGTGGGGTATGTAAAAATTTAAGGTTGGTGGTGATGGGCTTTTAAGGTAAAAGGTCTCAGCCAGCAGTGAAGAAATAAACAACCTAGGGGCCCATACACAGACGCCGTCTTTGACTCATTGACATAACACTCACCTGCTTTTAATTCAAGACATCTGGTTATAGGGCTTCCCTGGTGGCGCAGTGGTTGAGAGTCCGCCTGCCGATGCAGGGGACATGAGTTCGTACCCCAGTCCGGGAAGATCCCACATGCCGTGGAGTGGCTGGGCCTGTGAGCCATGGCCGCTGAGCCTGTGCGTCTGGAGCCTGTGCTCCACAACGGGAGAGGCCACAACAGGGAGAGGCCCTCGTACCGCAAAAAAAAAAAAAAAAAGACATCTGGTTATAAATGTAAGGCCCAACACTATGAAACTCTTAGAGGAAAACATAGGCAGAACACCTTATGACATCAATCACAGCAAGATCCTTTTTGACCCACCTCCTAGAGAAATGGAAATAAAAACAAAAATAAACAAATGGGACCTAGTGAAACTTAAAAGCTTTTGCACAGCAAAGGAAACCATAAACAAGACGAAAAGACAACCCTCAGAATGGGAGAATATATTTGCAAATGAAGCAACTGACAAAGGATTAATCTCCAAAGTTTGCAAGCAGCTCATGCAACTCAATATCAAAAAAACAAACAACTCGGGACTTACCTGGTGGCACAGTGGTTAAGAATCTGCCTGCCAATGCAGGGGACACAGGTTTGAGTCCTGGTCTGGGAGGATCCCACATGCCGCAGAGCAACTAAGGCCATGCGCCACAACTACTGAAGCCTCCGGGCCTAGAGCCCATGCTCTGCAACAAGAGAAGCCACTGCAATGAAAAGCCCGCACACCGCAATGAGGAGTAGCCCCCACTCACGCCGCAACTAGAGAAAGCCTGCGTGCAGCAACAAAGACCCAACACAGCCAAAAATAGATAAATGAATAAATAAATAAATAAATTTGTTAAAAACAAAACAAACAGCCCAATCCAAAAATGAGCAGAAGACCTAAATAGACATTTCTCGAAAGAAGATATACAGATCACCAACAAACATATGAAAGGATGCAACATCACTAATCATTAGAGAAATGCAAATCAAAAAGTACGATGAGATATCACTTCACACTGGTCAGAATGGCCATCATCAAAAAATCTAGAAACAATAAATGCTAGAGAGGGTGTGGAGAAAAGGGAACCCTCTTGTACTCTTGGTGCGAATGTAAATTGATACAGCCACTGTGGAGAACAGTATGGAGGTTCCTTAAAAAACTAAAAATAGAACTACCATATGACCCAGCAATCCCACTACTGGGCCACTATATACCACTGTGTACCCTGAGAAAACCATAATTCAGAAAGAGTTACGTACCACAACATTCATTGCAGCTCTATTTACAATAGCCAAGATGTGGAGGCAACCTAAGTGTCCATTGACAGATGAGTGGATAAAGAAGATGTGGCACATATATACAATGGGATATTACTCAGCCATGAAAAGAGACGAAATTGAGTTATTTGTAGTAAGGTGGATGGACCTAGAGTCTGTCATACAGAGTGAAGTAAGTCAGAAAGAGAAAAAACAAATACCGTATGCTAACACATATATATGGAATCAAAAAAAAAGAAAAAAAGGTTCTGAAGAACCTAGGGGCAGGACAGGAGTAAAGATGCAGACATAGAGAATGGACTTGAGGACATGGGGAGGGGGCGGGGGACGGGTAAGCTGGGATGAAGTGAGAGAGTAGCATGGACATATATACACTACCAAATGTAAGATAGCTAGTGGGAAGCAGCCGCATAGCACAGGGAGATCAGCTCAGTGCTTTGTGACCACCTAGAGGGGTGGGATAGGGAGGGTGGGAGGGAGATGCAAGAGGGAGGAGATATGGGGGTATATGTATACGTATAGCTGATTCGCTTTGTTATAAAGCAGAAACTAACATACCATTGTAAAGCAATTATACTCCAATAAAGATGTTAAAATAAAAGACATCTGGTTATTTTTTTGTTTCTTTGTAAAGGGACTTTAAATGCTTTTTTTCATATAAGATAGGGGAAAATCAATAAATGCTAAGTTGAGCTGCCCAGCGCTGCCCACATACGCCTTTTGCACCATCAGTGTGCAGGGTTTGCACCATCGAGGTGCAAGGGATGCCTTAGGCTCTTTCCATGTATGTGGCACTCAAACCGTGAAGTTTAAGGATAAATGAGTTAATATCTCCAGTGTCCTTTGAGCTCCTGGGAGGAAGGGCCTTTCTAATGTTCGCTTTCTTGTTTTCTGCAGGTTGACAGCAGGGACTGGACTCTTAATGGGAACACCCTCTCCCTCGATGAAGAAACGGTCATTGATGTGCCTGAGCCCTACAACCGTGTATCCAAGTACTGTGCCTCCTTAGGACACAAGGCAAATCACTCCTTCACTCCGAACTGCATCTATGACATGTGAGTAGGATACCAAGCGGCCAGTGGCTGGGGCCCCGAGAATGAGGAGGGCACCTCAAAGGTCATCCTGCCTCGAGGAAGGTGGCTTCCTCAGAATATTCGAGGGTCCTCTGGCCAGGGGCCTCATGGTTATAACTTGAAACTCAGAAATGGAAAAGTGCTTCAAAGAGTAGAAATGCTGTGGAAATGCTGTACTTAGTGGTTGCTGATTTATTGTGGCTTTTTTGTCCTTTAGTTGTCTCATTCTGGAAAATTAAGGGTAGTGTCATTTAAAGTAATAGTCGAAATTGAAATGACTCTGCACAGTGGAGGTGAGGGAATCCTTTTATTATGTGAAAGGAAGGAGAACCAAAAGATCTTAAGCCTAGGGCATGAGCTCTCAGTATTGGGAAAAAACGTGTAAAATCAGAGTCCCTATCATTTAACAATCAAGAGGAATGAAATACTGAACACATGCTACAAAATGGATGAGCCTTGAAGACATGCTAAGTGGAAGAAGCCAGTCATGGGGACTTCCCTGGTGGTCCAGTGGTTAAGACTCCACGCTCCCAATGCAGGGGGCCTGGGTTCGATCCCTGGTGGGGGAACTAGATCCCACATGCATGCCACAACTAAGAGCCTGCATGCCACAACTAAAGGTCCCACGTGCCGCAACTAAAGAGCCCACATGCCGCCACAAAGATCCCACGTGCCGCCACGAAGATCCCGCATGCTTGCAACGAAGACCCAGTGTAGCCAGAATAAATAAATATTTAAAAAGAAGCCAGTCACAAGAGCATGTAGTGTATGATTTCCATGTATATGAACAGTCCACTATAGCCGCAGAGACAGAATGCAGATCAGTGGTTGCCTAGAGCTGGGGGTGGGGGTGGGCGGAGTAGAAATTGATGGCTAATGAGCATGGAGGTTCCTTTTGAGGCTGATGAAAGCTTCCAAAATTAGTGGTGATGGTTGCACAACTGAAAACCACTGAATTGTACACTTTAAATGGATGAATTGTATGAGACATGAATTATATCTCAACAAAATCATTATTTTAAAAAATCAAATAATCCTACTTCCCCTTCCAATGGTGCATTGAACCTCTTGGAAACCTCCATTGATGAGAACCTTACCATTATCCACGAAGGCGGCTGTCTGGACAAACAAATACGTATCATGGAATTAGCTGTTGGGCTCTGATGATTAGAAAGTTCCTTCTGTTGAGCCCTTATGAGTTTCCCTGTAATATCCAGCCCTTGACCCTAATTACCTCCCTTTTTTTCTTGTGTACAGTGTCATTCTCTCTTCCACATAGTAGTCCTACAAATATCTTAGTAGTTTTCATGTGCCCCCTGAACCCTCTCTTCCAAAAGGCAAGCATCTCCAACTATGCCTTAAAGGATACAGCTGAGATTCCATGTTGTTGCTGTCCTTAACTCAGCCTGAGGACAGGCTAGGAGTCTAGGAGTTAGGCAGCTATATGCAACCTTTTCTGCTCAGCTGTAGTTTGCTGTCACTTAGTCCTCTAGCTTGTTAACATAAGCAGGATCTGATCATGTGCATTTAATCTGTAGGAAAATTGCCAGGATTTGAATGTCCCTTCTTGCATCCCTGAGATGGCTTTAAAATTGTTCTGGCACTGACTTGCTCTCCTTGGCAGCCAGTACCAAGTACTGAAGCTACAACTTCTGTTTAAAGGGCGGGTAGAAATGGCAAAGGACATGTGTCATGTGAAATGAAACTGACACTGTTATTAACTCCAAGGCTTTCACAGCCAGTGTGAATTAGGCCAAAGCATCGTTGCAGGCTGCACACAGCTGAACAACAACCCTTTAAAAGCAGTGGTAACTAAGGATAACAAATGCTACTTAGGCTGTCCCTTAAAACAAATGAGTCCTGTGATTTCATGGCAAGAACATGATTTTTCTCATCAAAAAGAAGAGAGCACAGGAGACAAGAGAAGGAACCATTTGTGCAAAATCAAGTCCCTCCTCAGAGTTTTTTTTTTCCCAAGCCCAATGTGAACAATTAGTTATTTGGGGTCATGGGGAGACTAGCTGAATAATCATCAAATATAACATTCAGATACCAATCCATGGCATTCATTTGTTTCTAAAATCATTGGTACTGTTACGCACACTGTAACTTAAACAGAACAGCACTTCTGTAAGCTGTTTTAACTGTAGTCTGGTACAGCATATGCCAAATGGACAGATAGGCAGGAACTACTTTTCTCGCTGTAAATATAAGTGACTTGTCGACAGGGGACCGAAGAGTGTGGCCCAGAGGTTTGGTCTGATTGCTAATCATGCAGCCAGTGTTTCCCGAGCACTTCCTCTAGGTCGGTGCTGTGCTAAAGCCTTCTGTGCACATTGTCATTCAATCCTCCCAGGAACTTCGTGGGGCTCCTGGTATTACTGCTGGTCCCAGATCAGCGACAAGAAACGCAGGGCTCAGGCTTCCCTGGTGGCGCAGTGGTTGAGAGTCCGCCTGCCGATGCAGGGGACACGAGTTCGTGCCCCGGTCCGGGAAGATCCCACATGCCGAGGAGCGGCTGGGCCCGTGAGCCATGGCCGCTGAGTCTGCGTGTCCAGAGCCTGTGCTCCACAACGGGAGAGGCCACAACAGTGAGAGGCCCGCGTACCGCAAAAAAAAACCAGGGCTCTTGTCAAAGTGGAGACGTGCTCTTAACCATTGTGCCTTAGGGCTGCTTTGAAGAATCAGCACCTGAGATTGAGTTCTGTCTTTTCAGTCTGTCCATTTTCTACTCCCTGAGAATAACAAGAATGAGCAAGAAAATTAAAGTACAAGAGGACGCTAAGAGAAATCTTAGGCTCCTTGTGCGATTTTTTTCCAGTGTACCAGAAGGTTACCTAGAGCTCCATTTCAGGAGTATTTTTTTTCTTGAAGTATCTCTGATTTACAATACTGTGTTAGTTTCAGGTGTACAGCACAGTGATTTGGATATACATATATTCATTTTCAGATGCTTTTCCATTACAGGTTATTACAAGATATTGAATATAGTTCCCTGTGCTATACAGTAGGTCCTTGTTGTTTATCTATTTTATATATAGTAGTGTGTATCTGTTAATCCCATACTCCCAATTTATCCCTTCCCCACTCGG